AATTCACAGGAATTTGTTACGTCACCAAGAGTGATTTAAATCTTTTGGGACTTGATTGGTTCGATCGTTTGCATCTGGCTGATGTCCCACTAAATTCGCTATGCAATGCAGCCAAGAAACATAAAATGTCAGACAATTCCGGACGAAGCCGAAGCCGCGAACCCAACAGGCAGACGAAGCGACAGAGGTCAACAACAAGCTCAACGGTTCCAGATAAATCCCCAAGAAAACACGCTACTAATTATCAATCTTCTCATAAGGGGAGGTGATATATGTCCACATGATGTGTGATTTGTTTTTGACAGTCTATTATATTTTGCTATGTGTATATGGATAGATATTTCATTATAACTGACAATATGCTTTTGTCCGTTCACTAACTAAATAAACATATATGACCTTGTTGTCACATGACATTACAACCAATCATGTTAAGACTTTATATTTATTGGTTCATGTGTATTAAATCATGTGTATTAGTCATTTTCATATATACTTTTGTACTGTATACTTGTATATACTTGTTCCCACGTTTCGTACACTATGTACCATTTCACTCACATTCTTGTGTGATATTTATTTCCCTTGTCTGGAAAATACAAGTATAATCGTAACCTTAATGGTCTTCTGATTTCCCTCTTTCCGCGTCAGGACTAATAACTACTCGACGAGTACATAACACTAATGTGTCATAAAATTGTCGGATTTTTGACTGTAAAGTCTAAGAAAGGAGTTATTGGAAAAGCAGTCGTCCGCCCTTGTTATTCCTCCTCTGTGAATATCAACCTTAGTTGCCCTGCTATCTTTGTATTCATTATCGTTATCATTATCATACATTACCTTAATTTCAAAATTTATCATCACGAAACAAGACATTGTGATGAGACAACAGTTCTTGTATCCATTTAGCCCTCAGATATAAACGTACACATTCATAATAATCGGCTGACTGCCTTGTTGTTGCTAGTTATTATTGCTTATCATTATTATTAGTGGTAGTAGTGGTAGTAGTATGTCATTATGCTAGTGATAGTCTAATCCGCTTGGTTATTATACCCTACTTCACACACTTGATGAGGAGTTACCGAAAAGATGTATTTGAATAATCAGTCGGTTTCTCTAGTTCTAGCGGTATTGTGAGTGGCTCAATTAATGTCGATTTTTTCGTGTGCTTTGTTTGCATCTCGTTGTGTCGCGCAACATCACACTTGATTCTGATCTTCACTCACTGAGTTCAACTCAATATTCACATTCCAAAAACACTTAATTGTTTGTCTGTCTGTCTGTCTGACATAATTTCACTCGACTATTCGTTCCCGCCCTCTTCAGCGCATTCCCCATCGTAATATTTATAAATTCACCGTGTCCTTCGATTTTATACTTCGTGTCCAGTCTAGTAACACTTTATTCCAAAGCAAAATTTGGTCTTAACTCAACTCACCCAGCCCCCATCCCCTTACCGCCACTTCTCTAATTCTACTACAAATAGTTAGTGCCTTTTTAACACTGAACTATTTGTCTACTCACATGATTTTCCGAATTGTGTTGTCTGTACTATCTGTCTATAAGTCAAAGTCATCGTGAAAAGTGTGTTCAAGCAAGCAAGCACTTTGTAACTCAAAATTTGATTTAGTTTAGTAAGTTAGCGGTTGAAGAGAATCCGCGAAATTAATCGATTTCATATTATCCCGCAAATATCTTCGTTATTTCTCTGTTCAAACCAATAAGGCAAACATTGAAGGGAGAAGTCGGAGTGAAGTTTAAATACTATTATTATTACTTTTAATATTATTATCCTTATTACAATTAAAAATGCGAATATTATTACTACGAATAAGACTAAGATTACGACAATGTTGTAATATTTTGCAATCGTAGTATTAGTATTTCTAGATGACCGAATTACACGAATCCAACCAAAACACAGAGAGGGATGAATTCAGGAATTTGTATTTAGCGGAATTATACTGCAATTCATATAAGAAATATATTAACAATCAACAGTGAGTATTATAACAATACAAAGATAGAAATTGTCAATCACCACATCCGCCACACCTCGAATATCTCCTTGAGTATTTATAACGGTGTCTCAGTTTGCTTGCAAGTAACTGCGACATTCTAACTGATTCTGTGATATTATTTTCATCAGTATCCTCTGAAATTATTTCTCAATTATCTACGAAATCAGGATTATTAACGGAATCATTAAAATAATAATCGGAACGACCTACTTCATTTATTGTCACTTTGTCAAGGTGTCTGTTATGAACTGAGTGATCTTTGATGTCTAATATCTTCACCACTCGATTTCCCATTCTTTGTAGTATGATTCCAACAGAAGGTCTATAGTCATTCCCTTTGTAATAATGTACATTAGAAGTCGTGGACATCAGATGCTTTCTGAGAATTCGAGATTTGAAAGGTTTTGCAGGACTTTCACGGGTACTTGTATGCTGTGCATTCAACAGACGCAGTCTATGCATATGCAACAATTCCTCCATTTTAATTAGTTGCTCTCTCATCTCATTTAGTTTTTCTCGTGTTTTCGACAGTTGGAATTGTACCTCGGCTACCTCACTGTTGAAAACAGTTGACGCTTGAGTTGCTGAACTTGTAGTGGAGGTTTTCATTGGATGAGATTGAGTATTTTGAAAAGTTGAAACACACATTGACTCCATTTTACTCGACAGATTGGGAGAATCATAAGAATTCTGAGTAACATAAGTGGACGACAATTCGGATTTCTTTCCATGAACACTTGTATTTTCGACTTTGGACAGCATGACATCAGATACTGACGTAGTGGGAGCAGAGTATTCATTATTGACATCTTCATATGTGATACATGGATCCTTAGCAGTTTGAAAGGTTCAGGACAGTATCTGAATTATCTCTCTCTCTAACTTAGGAATATTGATTCCAGCAATTAGACCATCACGTAGTTGAGTATGCAGCTGATCTCCAAAGTTACACTTTGAAGCTTGTATTTGAAGTTGAAGAATGAAGTCTCTTATCTTCCGATTTGGAGCACGAACCAGTTTATTGAACTGAGCCCTCTCTCTGGTCTCAAGAGTAGTTACATGAAAGTGATGTATCAGAAGTTCACAGATCTTGTCATATGACAGAGAAATGGGTTTATCTGGAAACGCCAGAGTCTTCACTAGGCTATATGCATCTAGCCCAATAGCAGTAATGAAATGTGCTGGAATTCTGTCGTCTCGAACATTCTTTGAAATGCACCATGCATCGAAGCATTCAAGTTAATCAGCGATTTCCCGTGGTGAACCATTTATAGGAAACTTTCCAAGGTTATTTAGATCCTGCTCGCGACGTCAAAATGTAATTATTTATAATAGTAGTATTAGTATTTCGCGATGACGGAATTAAAAGGATTTAACCAAAACACAAAGAGGGATGGATTCTGGAATTTGTATTTAGCGGAATTATACTGCCATTCTTATATGAAATGTATTAACAAGCAACAATAAATATTTAAACAATACAGAGATATAAATTGTTAATCACCACAGACTACTTATCAGTATTACAGTTTAATCAAGTGAAAGAGAAAAGAAAAAGCATGTTGTCTTCATCAGATGATTCGTGAAGACATTTGAATATGTGTGTTCACCTCACACGGATTCCGTCGTTACCATTTCTGATATGAGTAACGTGTATTCCCTCTTCAAGAAGAGAAGGAAGAAGACAAAAATAACGAATGCATGAGAAGTTTCAATATAATCAAGGAAGACACTGATGCAAATAGACACGTTTCATGGAGTGAATCAATCACTAATTTTTGACATTTTGAGTTCCGAATGACTGAATTACTCAAATCGATTGTGATTCAGTCGGCACACTGGGTCATGTATTCGATGCATTCAAATGTGGTCAAGACACATCTGAGTTCAAAGCATCAAAGCAATAAACTGCCACAACAATCATTCAGAAAGAAACCAAAGCTTCCCATCTAGTTATAATACCAACGCTTGAGATTTTCATCACACAATGTTTAGTTATTCATTAGTAGTGAACACCTCATCTACTTGTCTCTGAACACCGACAAGACATCAGTGAATACGACATGAGATGTGGCGATACACGACAAACGACAAGTAGATTGATGTTGGTGTGTGGATGAAATCTGATACATGAACTCACTTTCATATTCGTCAGAGCATTCTCAAAAATTGATTTGGTTTCTATAATGAAAAGACGCAGTTTGTCGTCAGAAAAGACATAATTCATGTGGGAATTTGAACAGACACACGAGAGACAACAGATGAGATGTTGTAAATCTATCGTTTGTAATCGTCGAAACCAAGTATGCACAAAGGGGGAAAACCATCTCAGTGTAAAATGCTATCTCGCCACCTCCGAGTCAACGTTTACGACCTACTAGACTAATTCCACCAACCCCTTATTGCACAATCTTTCAGTATTATCGGTAATTGTGACCTTACTTTCTTTGAGTTTTGTCCATCCCCCCTGTTTACTATTACATTTTAATTCCTGATTGTAATTTAATTAATTCCACCCTTGACAGGAAATTATTTTACCACTTTCCCACCTATTTATTATAAATACACGAATGTACAGCATAATTGATGGCTTCGTCAACGACCGAATTCTCTTCGCTGGAACTGTCTGTTTATTATTCCCTATGATCAAATGGGCATATTCCGTGATTTGAAAAAGAGCAACGACCTACTAGACTGTTGAAAGCGCCTTGCAAAATATTTGAATTTGTATGTTTCAACTTACCATGACCCACTATCAAAGCAGATTTCGAAGTAGTGAGATTTGTTATCAGTTGAATCAGTCGGTATATTTCTGAAAAGAAAGGGAAAGCGTAGAATCAATGAAAGTACATCATGGATAGACATGATGATTTGTGGACAGGTGAGGTGGAGAAGAATCACTGTTAATTTGGAAGACGAAAACATTGAGCGAAGAAATGTTTAATTCCCAGTGAAATCACCCTCATCAGCTCTAATAGTATGTGTGCATGAAGTTGTGTATATAAACCTATGACGGCACTTCCTGTGGGAAGTAGACATCAATCAACAGCTAACTTCACTAGCCACATATTGAAGATCAATAGAATGGCCAGATAAAATTAGCAACCAGAAACTCTGGCTGAGAACGAACCAACCATGAACCTACTGATCCATGGAAAGAATCATTAGGCTATTTGCAAGTAGGAGGTCAAATTTCTCCTTGTAGAGAATAGCTTCATCATCCACTAAGAATGCTATGTGACAGACACCATCAATTATTATCATTATTATTATTGTAAATCAGTCGAACAAATCGATACACATCTTCCTGAAAAATATGAATGATAAAATTTGTAGAATAATCTTCAACAAAGCAATGGCATGTTTCGAATAACCTTTACTGCGTTCAATCGACAGGAGACTGTCACACACACTCAAATCTGGGGTTCGGTCAATACCTGTTAAAGAAGAAAGGATAGTATTGACAGCATTTCATTGACTACAATGAACATGGTGTGTTTAGTATTACTGACCATCGGGATTCAGTGATTTGACTTACGGCTTGCTCCGACTGAAATACACGGAAGTCGACATATACAAAGATATTACTCGTTTATCATAACACCTGAAATGTGTGTGTGTGTATGTGCAGGTGGTGAATTTCGCCAACCCATTAATAGATTGGAAGTGATTCTTGGTGAGTGGGAATTTTTTTTTTGATTTACAGCTTGATTCCACACTGTATTTTTGGTACAAGTATGGAATTTTCAGCATGGATATCGGTAGCCCAAATTTCGCAGGCCGACAATAGATATCAGGTGTGCGTCGGCGGGTGCTCGAACCCCGGACCATATGCGTGGTCGGCGAGAGTCCTAACCACTGTGCCACCGACGCACAGATCTTCAGCGAGGGATACTTGAGGTTTCGAATCTTCATGGAGATTAACTATAAATCAATCAGCTACCAATCTTCAGAGAAAGCAGCGTGCACGCTCTTTCCGACTACTTCTCAATCACTCTCAACTCACCTCTGAGCACTGTGAGTGACTGGGTGTCAACGATTCAAAATGATGCGCTCTTTCGCAAAAAGATTGTGGTGAGTAGCATCAGAGAGTAATCACCTGCTTTGTTTTTGACAACCTCATAGACAAGCCGAGTCCCAACACACCGATACTGTCACACAAAATGACAACAGAATTACACAAAGTCACTATTGGATGTCAACTATTCTCCGGTGACTGAGGAATTCACTCAAATATCTAACTGAACAACACATCTGTCTTTCAGTCATGACTGACTTTCAGTTACCAGTTAAATATGATGGATTAGATCACAGTGATGTTGAACTGAGTCAGAAGAGTGAGAGACAGTGAGCAAAAGTGAAGCCAACTTGCTCAGTCAATAATAATAATGATGCTTACATCCAGATCCACGGGTTAGAGATTCGTTCCAGAGAGGTTTGTCAGCGGGCATGACGAAGAAACCGGCTAGAAAAAATGCAAAGAAGAGATAATATATACACATACTGAACAGTAATTCGAAAACCACCTGTCACATTGGTCGAATGGAGCAAATTTGATGGATAATTTCATCATGATTGATTCAACAACCGGCTGACGAATACTAATGGCCTGTATTCCGAGATTTTCAGCGAATAAATCAACTGAGTCTGTTTCACCGACTTCCATCAGCATTAAGTATTACTGTACAGAGACTAGATAGATGAATGCTAGGTGCTCTTATACTCCCATATACTGGTTGCATTCATCTGACTGGTAGTGAAATATGCAACGAGTATCTTAAGCAGCTGAAAACAGTCCGCTACACTCACGCTCATCTTCCACTACCAGTAGTGTCACTCAACTGAATTTCTTCCACAAGTCACCTTCGACAACTCGCCGATTAAAATGCAGAGGGAACGAGATCAAACAGGATGCAAAACGAATTACGAAAGCATACTCACTATACGACTGATTCACTTCTCTGATGGCTTTTGAAATGCCTGACAAAACAAATGAATACACGTTTAATTCAGAATAGACCACAATTGGGATAATAAAAGCTGACAAATTCCTAACCATGAAATACTCAAATTGTATAAGAAACCCTATTCAGACAGATTATTCAAATAACTCAACGTCAATCAGCCTTCTCATATCTGTGTGATAATCACTAGTATTCAGCGTTGATTCAAAATCTATTCAACCAAAGATTTCAATAGTCTAGTGACTCTGTTTGCAGGTTGAAGATGAACAAAAAACGTTTCACATACTTCTGTAAATTTCCGGTCGGTAGTGCTCCTCAGAGGTATTGACTAGACACTTGACAACTAAAAGAACGATTATTATTTCTCAATATTGATTAAGTCTGTTGACTTACACTCAGCGACAGTTGTGTTCCTTCGTGTGGCCTGTGCTTCCAACTGGTCTGAAGTGGGAAAGACACAAACATTCTGTTACCTGGTGCGATATAAATGATGAATGAAAATTATTGCATACAATGTTGTCAATAATGCTCGCTTCTCAACTATTGACATAAAAGCTGATGAATAAACAAACGACAGTACGGTATCACCAGTAAGCTCCTCTGTCTCCACTCATCCCTAGATATTGTCGCCTACACACATTTGAACAGAATTCGGAAAATGTCTTTTGTTGCATATTCATGTACAAAGTAGTTAACGTCCTTCAACGACTAACAATGCAAAAGCAGACATTCACTTCAGAAGACAAAACGTTTGTACGAAGCATTGCGAAACTGTAACTGATTAGATTGTGACTGTGATCGCATTGCTAGTTGTAAATCTACATCACATCCCTGCCGTCCTTAGTAGGAAGGACAACTAGAGGTGGTGAACACTCCACGTTTAATGAAAAACGAAGACAAGAAAGAAGGAGAAGAGAAGACTGAGTATGAGGCTGAGTAATCTTGTAGTTGCTAGTGATACGATTGTGAATAATAAATCTCCCTCGAAATATCTATCATCCAGTGAATAGACCTGTGTCACTCTTTCCAACATATCTCCAACAATCGCATTAGTTTTGATAATAACATGTAATACCAGCAAATAGTTGAAGTACCACACGCACACACTATTGACGAGATGAAGCATCACTGACACAAGAAATTAAGAAATAAAATACAAGATAAATTTGGTAAGTAAAAGCACCTTGTAAGGTTTTCATTTCTTCTTGCATAACGGTTGTCGAATTTTCTATCTTGTCTATCATTCCTGTAAAATAATCGCAAATTTCTCACAAATCAATTGATAATGACTGTATGAATGATGATGAATGTAAAATGTGACCATCAGTCACGCTGATGATCACGTCTACATTTACAAAGTGTTCCAGTGTTACATGGTGCCTGCCGGTGCTTCCTTCAACCAACTCAGGCGCGAATAATTGACAATTTGGAGAGAATACGATGAATCATTTAACAAATGAAAATGAAGATGGATTCAATGAACACAAACATTCTTATTTCATCAAATGTTAAGCAAATATACGAAATAATGAAATATATTCATGAAAGGAATTTGCCTACCGTCGTAAAATTTGAGGCCACTTTCTAAATTCTTTATCTCTTGTCTGAGACGATCCGCATCTTCAAAACAACAAAGTCAAGCGTCATTTTATTGAATTAAGCTCGGTTGAATGCTATAACTTGTTCATCAATTTCAAGAATGAGTCACATAGAAAATATATATGTGTGTGTGAGTGCGCCAGCACGTTTCCCAATTTATAAGACTGAATAACACTGGTTGACATGTTCAACGAATAGCGTATTGATGAGAATATCCCACTTGAGAATACCGAACGATACCACTTGAAATATCCTGTCACTCATTTCACAAGAAGCAGTTTCCCTGCAACTCGAGAATCCTGGGTCTCAAGCCTCATTTGGGTGCGGATGGGGTTAGCTATCACAGATAGAAACTGACTAGTTTCTCACCAACATCATCCAGACAATGTGAATACTCTGTCTCACTGAGAAATATGATGTGAGAATCTGGTTTTTCACTGTTAGTCGATTTCTACATATCCACAGTGTTCACATTCCCACTTGTAGCACTTACTACATTCTTCCGAAGGATTCACATGATCTTCAGCCACCAGACTACTCGATAGTAGTCTAAAATTAGTTGACACACTATGAATTGTAGACAGAAATATCCGAAAGTTTGACAGTGTAGAATTCTCGAATAATCACTGATGATGTAACTGGATATTATTCAACAAGCAACTTCACAAACGTAGAAAGAATTTACAAGTGAGAAACAATTGGATTACAACATACTAAGGGCAACATCAATGCTTAAATTACTCTTCAATGTAAAATGACTCACCATAAGGTCGTACAGAATTCCCACTATGTTTTCTCAGTTCACCAGCTACAAATAAATGGAAAATAATTATTTGATTAATTCATTAACTAATGATACGCGTATTTGATAATACTTAATCGTATGAGTCCCTTGATCGACAGTGAGCGAGAATCATTCATCTAATATTTCGCAGGGAAATCACCTTAATGCTTATCTTGTGCACTGAATCCACATTCAGCATGTGTTTCAAAATGATGCAATTCAAGATTATTTTATTTATTTTTAATTTTTGATTACAGCTTGATTCCACACTGTATTTTTGGTACAAGAATGGAATTTTCAGCGTGGATATCGGTAGCCCGAATTTCGCAGGCCGACCATAGATATCAGGTGTGAGTCGGCGTGGGCTCGAACCTCGGACCATGTGCATGGTCGGCGAGAGTCCTAACCAATGTGCCACCGACGCAGTCATGAGACTGAAATCGTCAGTGTACACAATGTGTACAACAGGTGTGTATGAAATGTATGCAAACTCGTGTTATCAGTTTGAGGTGGTGAAACGACTACATTGTGTTGTCATTGCGTGCCTCGATTTCATCAGAAAATCATATTCATATCGACGTCTGATAGATCTGATCGAGTGGAGTGATTCATACATTCACAGAAATCACTGATTATCATATGCTAACTAATTAACAATAAGCAGTTGTCCATCACAAATCAGAAGTGAATTCTATTCACTAAAATTAGTTTTAAAATATTCATGTAACACGCAGACATAACAGAAATGAAGTAACTAACGCTTACCAGTCAGTAGAGATACACGCAGGAGAAGGATGAACGCGGTGATTTCGAATGATACGACAGTGAATGCCATGATTATGTGTCGTCGATTGAAATCTGATGTATTTGTATTACAGTGAAAATGGTGAAATTCTCTTCAGAAAACGAAAGACGACAAGAGATTGGATGATTAACAAAGTACTTTTCTTTTTTGATGTTCACGGAATGATGGCGTGATTATCAAAACTCTAATTAGATTGAACTTTAATAAAGAATGTAAACAGATTTTCTCAAAGAAGATACAATTAGTCAGACAAAAACGGTAAAATTTGGTATTGATTCATATGAGGACTTCTTAACTGTACTCTAATAACTTATTCTTGTGTTAGAAGATTGTCTGAAGAAAGAATATGGTTTTCAAAACATTCCATTCATGTTGTTGTAGTTATACGGTAATTATAATAGCAGGTTATATGATGGATACAGTTTTCACTTAGAATAACAGTAGTAGTGGTAGTAGTATTTCTGTGAGAAATATGTTGAGTTGATTGTAAATACAATAATGATAATGATACTAGCTTTATTCTAAAACAGTACTTGTGATACAGAATGGAATTCTCAGCATTTTACTACAATATTGCATCCAGTTAGTAAATTAACAATAAAATGAAATTCTACATAGATTAAGGGTAATCTCAGTTAGTTTTGACAACAACATATTAGCATGTCGGTAGCAGACCCAAAATTAAACAGAGTGTTTGAAGGTGCTAGAAAAGTAGGTTCTAGCATATTCACTGGCGTAAGCAGAAGAAAGAAACAAAACTGCACATAACAGAAAAAAGGAGAGAGAGAGAAAAGGAAAAGAAAGAAAGAAAACGTTGTACCTATAAATGATATGAGTTGGAAAGATGAAATCCAGTGGTTCTACTGACTATTTAATAAGTTATAAGTTGCATGCCTAAAGCTTTCTTTATCGCACAGAACACGAGCTGAGTAGGGTATGGCTGAGATTTTGCACTTGCTAGTGCGAGTATATAGTTTTCCATATAGGCTTTTGGTTCTGGCTGATCAGATATAAGGGGAGAGTTGTGAATGAAGAGGGTGGTGGGAGTTAGATTCAATGGATTTAGCCCATTTTACACATGAGTCCAAGTGCCTGTCGACCAGAATATTAACAAGCTGGTTAAGTGGCATGTAGCTTACCCTGCTGACAACCTTTAACATCCTGCGTAATAAGATATAGTCTTTCTTCAGTAGCCCTGGAAAAACTAAGGGGGAACAATAGAGAATAATAGGCAGAATGCAAGAGTTAACGAATGGTAACAGTAAGGGTTGGGTTATTCGAGAATGTCTTAACTTCTTGATGTAGAAGGTAAGACGGAGTATTTTCTTAGAAATCATCAAGATATGAGACGATCAGGAAAGATCAGAAGATAGAATGACGCCTAGGTATTTAATTTCAGACTTGGTTTCTATTTCAGTGCTATCTATGTTGCAGACCTCGTGAGTGCTAGCCAGTTTGTTTAGCTCAGATCTATGCCTGAAAGTGAAATTGACTGTTTGACATTTATAGGGATTTAAGGTTAGACCGTTTTCCTTGGACCATTGGCTGATTTCTGATAAAAAGCCATTTAGTTTGGAGCAGTCACTTTGACATTTGACAGGCAAAGATACAGTCAGGTCGTCAGCATATTTAACTAAATTAATATCATTTGAAGATGGTAGGTCATGTAGAAAGAAAGAAAAGAGAAGTGGGGAAAGTACAGCACCTTGGGTGACACCAGCTTCAGTAAGCACAGCAGAGGAGGATTTGCCTTTGTATACGTGTACTGCATTCTGTTTGAAAAGTAGGAATGCAACCAGTTAGTTACCCAGGACTCAGTTTGTGTCATGGAGAGCTTATTTAGCAAGAGACATCTAGGTACAGAGTCGAAAGCAGAATTGAAGTCCAGAAACGTGCAGCGGACGTATTTGGCACCTTTATCTAATGATGAGACGATACTGTTGTGTAAGACGGCTGTAACATCTAAAGTACTCCTACCATGTCTGTAGGCAAATTGTTTGGGGTCTTCAAAGCTTTTAAGGGAGGGTTCGAGTTTAAGAAGTACTAGTTTTTCCATAAGCTTTAGAAACGGGGAAGTGATGGCAATGGGTTTGAACTTTACGTTCTTGCTATTGCCAGGTTTAGGGACAGGGACTATTTTATTGTCTTTCCATGGAACAGGTACAACGTTTTCGGAGAAAGAAGCATTTAGGATGTTAGTTAGAGGAGAACATAAAGCATCAGCGCATTGTTTTAGAACATATCCAGGTATACCATCAGGGCCAAGACTACATGAGAGCTTAAGAGTTTTAAGACATTTTAAAACATCGAGAGTGTGAAGTGGATGAAGACGATACGTATTCATAATAGAAATATTTAAGGAATGAAGGTCGACCAATTAGTTGAAAGGCGTTTAACGGGCTTTGTGAGTGGCTAGTACACATAGACATTGGGTTTTAAACAACAATTAGTAAAACTGTAATTAGTAGTTTACCACAGAATAATCAACATTTGAAGTGGGTGGTGCGGTGTCATATCTTGGAGAAAGAGATAATATCACTGACACTGATGCGCAACAGATTTTCAGTGTCAGACTAGAAGACAGGTGAGAAGACTTAGCATTGAGGTGATAGGGATGAAATGGATGTGCAACCTGCAAATTTCTAACTGGATAGTCAAGAATCTACTCCATGTGGTCATCCAGACGATAACCATGAGCATACTGAAGCAGTGAGTGGCTATCGTGATATCGCTAACAGCAGACAAAGCCTTAATGCAATAAGTGGCAATTTCACACTATGGGATTATGACAACAAGATTCAATACAATAGGAGGGAAGGAAGAAAAAAAGGAAGGTTAAAAGCATCCAACACTATGCCTCGAAAAGCAATCGGTTGCAATCTTGAGTTCTAGTTTCAACAAGTTACAGTAATCATTCACTCGAAGGCATCAGTATCTCATGCTAACTGCTAATACTTAGTATTATCACGAGTCAAAATGTCTCCGTTTTTAGGTGATATGCTTTGAAGATCCGTACATATATAAACGGAATGAATGATAAGGTTATTTAAGCCGTAAAGGTTCTATTTATTCTGGCCTGACTTGTACTTCGGCTCCTGGAGGACATAATGTAGAGTTTAGCCACTTCTTCAAATACTAACAACCATTGAACCCGCTAAAAGACTATGAGGTGGACCTGCAGTGCGTTTGTGTGATAAATATGGCTTAAGTGACTCGTGGGTCGGCGAAGCCAATAATGTGCCAATGTGTACACCTATTACGAAATTAAATTACGTGTCCCTAGGAGCAAGCCTTGCTACAGTGATGGGAGTACTCAAAGTTTATATCTACTTTCTCAATTGACCCCTATGAAACGATGGTAGTCCGGATCTGTTAACTTCAAAAAACTTATGACACTTTGGGATGCAAATGCATTCGACTATATACCGATGGACTTGTAGAACTTCTTCACTGGCAACATAAAGCTTCTCTTGTGACAATCAACAATGTAAAACAGACCATTTCCTCTCTATTCGCCCTTTGCTTCACACTGTCCACTCTCAACTTTGATATACGGTGCACAGAAACGGTTTGAGAAACCATGTTTCTCTTACTTGATGAAATAGTTGCTGCGGTAAATTGTCAACCAAGTGTTCCATATATCCGCATATCATAAATGCTTATTGAATGGAAACAGAACAACACCAGTTCATTTGCATAGTTGAGTAGCACTGCTGACCTGAAGGCTTCAGAACTGTACACACGCTTTTGTGAATTGTGAAGCCATACAAAATTCTCTACAACCTTCCTACGATGAACCATTCAAGATTTCTTTATAGAAAGGAAGCATTTCCTTTCATTGACGGCGCAGAAGGGTAAGACACATTTAGCATCGACTACCTGAAGGCATCTTATATATCTGAGGAGCCAGTACTTCCTCCTTACGTGGACACGATTAGTAAAATCCTCACCGTCAGATTGTGAAGGAGACTCAGTAAATTATTTGTAATTACTCCTATTCCCCTCCTTTAACTGATGTTCTTCACCAGTATTAAGAATCTTACACCTCCAAAAGTCCATCTGAATTCTTAGAAGCTGTTCAGCTTCATATCGAATTATAGTTGAAGAGTTACCACTCCTAAGGCATCAACCTGGGAAATTAGAGCATGTACATTAATCAGCATATGTTATCCTCAAATGTAAACCTGAGTGATTCCATTGTAAACGTGTAAAATGCGGACAAACCTTCCACGAAACTTATAGGCAATATCTTTGGATAAATCTCCATGAACACAAAACTAGAAGATTACAGATACGCCTTGCTGAAAGGTGAGTGCCAGCGAACACGAAACCTAGATCTAAGGTTTCCTGTCGGCTGCTGCCAAACATCTAGAATTTCTGCTGGTTACCACAAACAACCGTGAAACAGACACAGCACACAGCAACTTATGTATCATGCTTGTTGGCATTCACCAGTCATCAGGGTGCATCTCCAACTCATGTCCCCGCTCTCTGAGATGCCATCACAAGTCACCCAATGAGTGCTGCACTCAGAGGCGTTATCATTGTGCTGTTCCGGCTTGTGATTGATCTCCTGTAAGAAATGTATTGGATACGTTGATTGGACATGCATCTAGTCATGTAATTTTAATTGCTCTCTTGATCGTCATTTATGGTGTCAAGTAGACCACATATTTCGGTCTGAATAATCTGTCACCTCTCTATCTCAACTTCATAGACTTTGAAAAGGCCTTCGACAGCGTCGATCGAGAGGTCACCTGGCAACTACTTCGCTACTACGGGGTCCCATCGACAATTATACATCTCATCCAACAGTTGTACGACAATGCTGCATGCCAAGTAATCCACAACGGGAAACTTACGGAAGCCTTCGAAGTGAGGACGGGAGTGAGGCAAGGCTGTCTACTATCACCAATGATCTTCCTGATTGCAATTGATTGGATAATGCGACAGACAACGGCAACCAACGAGGGAACAGGCATAAAATGGACTGACACAAAAGACTTGGAGGATCTGGATTTCGCCGATGATATATGTCTGATTTCCCATAAACTGGAAGATATGCAAGTGAAAAGTAACAAGTTGGCAGAAGAAGCATCAAAGATAGGACTTCACGTGAACATAGATAAAACAGAGATGATGAAGATTCCTAGCCAACATCAACAG